ATGTATTAATGTAAAGGTATATTGAAGGTATATAAAAAAGTGTAAACTTTTCACTCCTTTCTGAACAAGTAGCTAAAATGACTGGATTCTTATGTTGCAAAACATTCTGCCTGCCTGCCAGCAGCCAGCCAAACGATTAGATGAATAGAATTATTATTCAATCATCTGTGTCATAACTTTGAAATAAACTTCATACTTAATTACATCTGCAAGAAAATGTTCTTTGCCTTTAATCTTGTCCAGTCTTGTACTCAAACACAAGCAAAACAAATGAAAAATGTCTGCCTCACCTTTCGGAGCGGATCCTCGATGCAACCTGAGGCTTCTTCTCGACCTTGGGGCTCTCAGAACCCGTCTCTGCCACCCAGTTCCTTATCTGCTCCTTCACCCCTCCATTGCCGTTTGGGATTTCTAGCTCCTCTTTCTTCGTCGTGACCTCCTGCTTSGACACCGAGTCAAACAGACGGCTGATTCTGAGTTTTATACTGTGTCCTCCGCTGTAGTCCTCCTCCTGGTCGCCAGCATCGCTCTCTCTGTTTGAGGGTTCTGGTGCTGGTTGGCTTTGCTCTGGAACAGGAGACACTGGTTTATCCAGAACACTTTTTCTGATGGTTTTAGGGGTGGTCACAGGTTGAGGGGACGGCGGCGGACCGCCTAACTCAAACTTCGAGGTGAGCTCCATGGACAGACGCTTTCTGGTCCCACCCCAATGATATGTTGGATTGGTTGTAGTGGGACTGTCGCTGCTCGAACCTTTAGGCATTTTGGTAACAGAAACCTGAGTTTCATCCTCCTTTTTTATCTTGTCTTCCTGCTCTGAGTCAGTCACCGTATCTGTGGAGGCTTCGTGGTTTGTTTGGATAACATTGTTATTGTGGACAGGTTCAGACTCTGGTGTTTTGTTAGGTGGAGTGGTTTTAGTGGCTGGATCAGAATCAGTACAGTCCTCCTGGTGTGGSGGTGTTGCACTTGCTTTGGTTGGTGTTGGTTTAGTGGGAGCTTGAACAGGGCTGGGTTTGGTGGCTGAGACTGAATTTATCTGAGGTGGTTTCTGAACAGGGGGGGTCACAGGTGATTTGGGGCCATCTGAAGCCACCGATTTATCAGCCGATTCTGTTTTTGACTTGGACGTGGAATACGCAGGTCTTGGAGCGTGGATGGAGCGCACTGCTGTGTTCGTCTGCAGAGAGAAGGGCTTGGGAGCGAGTCGAGGTTTAGGCCCCAGAGCTGGCTTTAGTTTCAGGGGCCCTTCGCTCTTGGAAGCCTTAACTGAGCTCTGCATGGCTTAAATGCCTGAGAACAAAAGAGGTAAAAGACTTTAACTCGCAGCAATCCACACATTCAAACTAAAAAAAATCTTTTAGTCTCAATCCAGGAGAAGCTAACTAGTTAAGCTGCAACAAAACAGGACCAGATTAGTCTGGTTGGTCCAGATTTTTTAAAGCACTTTTCTGCCAATGAGGTAAAGTGAAACTAATCAGTCACACCAAATAAGCACTAACTAGTTTTTTTTCCTGCTTAGTTTCTGTCTTTTTTTTTTTAGGTTTTTAAAGACATTGATTCCAGGAACATTAAAGGAATCTTCACAACATATTTAGATTTTTAGGTCTTATTTGCAAGCCTTTTCATTAAATAATCAGTTTCCAACCTGGAGTTTCAGCAAGTGTTYCAAGCAGCAGCTGAGGAATTTTAATTAAGGGAGATGTTGAAAAAAATCTGAATTACACAAACAGGAAGGAAAAATGTATGCAAATAAGGTTTTAATTAAGGAAAAAATATGTGCATTTAATTTTATTTATTTTTTAAAGGTTAAAGGTACTTTATTGGTCATCAGTGTATGTTTCCACACAATGATGAAATTTGTGCTCTGCATTTGACCCATCCACACCCAGGTGGAGCAGCGGGCAGCCATGTGAGGCACCCGAGGATCAGTTAGGGTTAGGTGTCTTGCTCAAGGACACCACGACATGTGGGTATGGCAGGGAGTCGAACCTAAGACTTTCGGGTCTCAAGCCAGCTGCTCTACCACTACACCACAGCAAATATATGAATTTAATTTTAAAGTCTCCTTAGGTGTAAGAAAGTGTAAATAGTTGTTTTTCTCATTTTACTTTGTGTCCCTGTGTTGGACTTGCTCTGTCCAGAGTGTCCCAGAGTGCCAGAAATGAATATATGAATTAATTTTGAATATTTTTATTGACTAACTTTGTGTTGTTCATTTATTTAAAAAAAACACTTGAATTGTATCATATGGATGGATGAAGGCTAAACTCCATTCATTCGGCTGATGACAGTGTGTCAGCGGACAGTGTGTGGCAACGTTTGCAAATATTTCTCCACTATTAAAGCTAAAAGAGTTCTCGGAATCAGGCTGTTCTTGAGTTTTGTCATTTTTCTGGGCGCATTTTTTTTCAAAAGAAAAATGAAAACGGGCCCTCGGGAGACATTGTCAGAAACGAGAGCAGGTCTGATGAGTTTTCTTGTTTCTATTGTCCGATATACAGAAATGACACCGTCAAACTGCATAAGCTCACTTAGCTGAAAAGCACTAACAAGACAAACAAAAGTGCAACGGTGTTGAAACTGGCTCGGTGAGCATTTTTGAAGAGAAACCTGTACCCCCACCTGAGAAGCAGATAACAGTAATGTTTTCATATCTGGTCCAATAAATACCACAGGAATTATTATGTGGAGCAGCTGGTTGTGCCAGTAAGAGCTTTTTGAACAAACCAGTAAGTCCACACCCCTGCAGTTGGATACAATGAAACACTCACAGCTTCCATAATGTGTTCAGRGCTGTGTTGTCAGTGTGCAGCTGGCTGGCATTAGCTGTTTGGATTTCAAACAGCACATTGGATGTACACCCTGATATTTTTGCGTGTAAGATGTGTTGTTATGTTGCTACACCGCTGCTTGAACACAAAACACCACTGGGTGTGCAGGATATTGTGTAATGGGATAAGCCTGGGATAAAGCAGCCACGTGGCTAAATTGTGTGTTTGATTCTTCCCTCTTTTTTTTTTTTTTACAGATGGATTCTTAAGAAACAAACACTGWCCTGCAGATAAAGCTGGGCAGCTGTAGTCCACAATCACACACCTCTGCTGTCAGTCTCTGTGTTACCAAAACATCCCATAAACCAATGGATGCATTTGAATGAATCTCTCTGAAAGTAATTTATCAGATGGACATCTACATGATTAACTTAAAACAGAAAATGTCAATAACTCAGTCAGTTTCACGAATATTGACCTAATATTTTGGTGTGATAGTAGCTGAGGCCGATTCCCAATAAAAACTTTCAATGCAAACAGATTACACAAGATTTTTGTTTATTTTTATTTGTAATGAACTATTTAAACCTAGCTTTGCCTGACTGTTAGCACATTGTRGTGTGAACTGCTGGGCTGATTCTGATCCAACCTTTTAAGAAACAATCACTGAATGTACCTCTACAAGTGATTACRTTTTGGAGCCATCCCAAGTCTGGACAGCCACAACAACCAACAGATTTAGAAAACACAAAAAATGACTATAAGGCAATAAATTTTAAAGATATCATGCTCAAATTCGTTGTGGTAGTAGCTTAGAGTCACTCACAACATAAAGTCTGTGTTACTCATTACGAGAGCTCTTTGCTTAAAATATTAGCTTTAACTGCTAGAATCATCCCTGTCTGTTAGCAAAATAGCTTGTGCATTACTGGGTCGGTTTCAATGAAACTTTCAGAAAGTAATCCCTGGATGGACATCTACAACTATTTAACTTTTGGGGTCAATCCAATTCAAGATGGCCGCCATAAGTGATTAACATCAGCCAATGCAAAAATGGCTGCAAGACAGTCAATTTTACCGACATTGAGCTAAAGTTTCACGTGGTAGCAGCTGAGAGTCTTTCACAACACATATTCTGAGCATGACTGACCCGAGATTTGTAATTTTTCAAGGTTTGACCATACCCAGCTACAAGTCCATAACTGCTCAATAAAGACCTTAAAACTGTGTGAAGAAAGGCGGCGGGTGATCGGCTTTATTTAGGCTGGGGTCTGCAACCTGCGGCTCTGGGGCCACATGTGGCTCTTTGGTCCCCCTACAGTAGCTCTTTGAAAATGTGATCAAACATAACAGCCTTTTTTTTATACTCACAATACTAATAAATTGTATGCAAATATGTGATCAATACTACTAATACAAAAATACTAATACAAAAAGTAAAACATTAGCTCATGCAAGCCTGTTTTCTACCTAAATAATATATGATCTTTCTCTCAAATCCATCAGGATTATCTTTAAACACCTTTAGGACTACATGATAAGAATTAAAAAAAAAAAAGTCTGACTAGTTCAGCTGTACTGGTTTTTATGAAGTTCTGTATAAACTACAGCCAGTAATTTTCTTGTGCACAAATATGTTTTTTCTCTTCAGTCCTGAAGTGTAAAAATAATAATAAAATTCACAATATATATTTTTAGGTTTATGTCACCGGCCATAAAGGTTCACGAAAAGGCTTTGAAAAGGCCCACGGACCACCAGTTGATAATCACTGCTGTAGCTTATTTTGTGGCTCTGGACACATTTTATTAGTGAGCCCAGGAGCAGAAATGGCTCTTTTGATTGTAAAGGTTGCAGACCCCTGATTTAGGCCTTTAATCCAATCACATCGCGATCCAGCAGCAGCTGTTTCCTGTCCCAGGAAAGGTTTTTCTGTTGACTCCCGTGTGGTCCTGTGAGACTTCATTTCTCTTTAGACTCGGTTTCGACTCAAACATCACCGTGGGATGAACTGCAACACTGAAGAGCTAAACATGCGTAATTACGGGTTGTTAATAAGTCACTAATAAACACGTTCACTCGAAGCAGCGCGGTGTCCTCCGAAACCTGAAGTAAATTGATCATTAACTTTAAACACAAGTTTAAACCCTGTGAGCGAAACTTTACGAGCACGTTTATCCGAATCACTTCCAACCGCTGGGAAAGATGCACATCTGCTACATCCAGTTTGACATAAACATCCCCCAGGTGTGCAGTWCGGATTTACCCAGTTTACCTCGTGTCTTCACGTCTCAGGTGGACGACGGGAGGAAACAAAAAGAAAAACGCTGCTCCTCGGATTTCCGCGCTCGTCTCTCCCCTGTTGAGCTGTTATCCGACGGTACTTCTGTCTCCTGTAATGTCTTTCACCATAACAAGACGTCAGCCCGATGGTACACCTCCACCCAGCCTCGGCAGACACTCCCTCTGCCCGCCTCAGGTTCAACCAGTGTTGCCAGGTGGGAAATGTTGAATTATCGTATCAGCAGCTCAAAATTATCGTATTTTGAGGAAAA